TAATCATTTTAGTAAAGCTCTAGAGATTTTCAGAAGTGACTGCAAAATAAAAATTACAAATTTGAAACTGTTGTTTACTTTAAGGGTGGCAAGAGGTAAAAATATCTTCCTGGTTAGATTAGTGTTAAAAATATGTCATTATCATTATATACAGTGTTTTCAAAATATGGGTTTCTATTTTTCCTTCCTTTCACACAATATTGAACGTGTCTATTTAACATTTCCCTTAAAGGAATTTTTAGCTACAGCCTTAAACTGAGATTTTAATAATTAGCTGAAATGATCTATTCAGAGCATGCTCAACATATTGTTTGATGCACAAACCTCTCCCATTTCTTGTCTCAGCTGTTGGAATTCTTGCCTTTCCATTTCCAACTTTTGCCGACGCTCCTCTTCTGTGCGTCTCTTCTCTTCTTCCATTTTTTGCCTCAGCAGCTCCTCAAAGTTAATTTCCAGTTTCCCAGGTACGAGGGATTCTTGAGAAAATGTTTTAAACATTTCTGGTGATTCATCATCCAGCACCTGCTGGGAATGCAGAGATGAAACCACAGCATTGCTCAGACACTTGTGGGACATAAAAGATTTATGTCACATAAACAGGTGACATATTTTGTGGGCATTCCTCTAATATTGTGGGAGGGAATGGTTTGGAGGGGTTGTATTTGACTTTAGCTACAGTGCTAAAACTTTAATGAAGTATTTTCTGCCCTCTAAATGCACCTTTAGGATCTAAAGCAATTCATTCTTGTTTCCTTCAGACCATCATTAAACAAAGTGTTTAAATGTCATTGCTCTTAACACTGAAGTACACAGAGCTGCCATTTCTTTGGAGCAAACTGAATTAAGTAATATTAGCATTTACAGTAAGGAGAACTGAACAGAATTTTCAGAAGAAACTCATCTTGTGCACAAATAGTTTATAAAAGTCCTGTTGCCGGTTTATTGGTTTATAGAACCCACCAGAAGGGCTTCCTCCTTTCCCTGGCCTTGTCTCTGGCTTCCCAGTAGGGTTAGGCTTAGTTGGCTGTTTAGGAGCAGTTGGTGTATCTTACAGACTAATTCCTAGCATGGTAGGGCTTAGGAAAGGCAGTTTTCATTCCTTCCAAAGCAGGGAATGGAAGAAGTGACATTTTCTCAGACTGAAGTGCAGTATGACTAAAATCTGAAGCTGTGTGCTACCAAAATGGCCAGTGGTGACAGTGTGAGTCCTGCAGGAAGGTTAAAACAACTCCTTGCCAAAGCTTCCACTTGTGTGTGTCTGGGCATGGACCTGGACAAACTTGCTGACAGATTGTCCCAGCAGGAATGTTCTGGAGGTGAATGTGAGCTGAGCTCGGGTCCTGGCCCACAGCTCTGAGCTGATGTGCTTTGGGCTTCATCAGGGCGTGTTTGAAAAGCCTTGGGGCAAACATGGAAGGCTCAGTGTGCCCTGAGCTGTAGCCATTCCCAACAGCAGGAATCAGTCAAATGCTGGAAACAATTAAAGCAGCAAATTTACATTGGAGAAGGTGTTGTGACTACCTTCATAAAGGAACAGAAACGAAACATTTTTGAGAGTCTTTGACAATTCCTCTTCTCTTTATTGCTGCTCACTGCCCTGTCACCCACACCTTTTGCTGCTGTTGATGCCATCCTAGTTCACATCCCTGTCTCGACCTACTTTGCCCACATCCTTTTTATTTGCCACAGCTCTTTCAGTAGTTTTTTAGCCCAATCCCACTCAAATTCTGCTGTTCACTACAGATATCCTTCAGATTTTCCCTCTGAGTAATTTCACAGTTGGACTTCAGCCCCACCATTCCTTCCAGTCTTCATTTGTTTTGTGTAATATGAGCACATTCGTTGAAATTGTGTTATGGAAAAGTGAAGTCTAAAAACAAGCTGTAAACTATTTCCTTCAATGAAAACAATGCCATACAGTTTTTGGAGGCTAACCATTGCCTAAATTAGCAAAGAAACATGAAACTCTTGCTTGTGATGCCCTGGTCCATGTGCTCATCCCTTCAAGGAGACACAGACCCTGAGGGAGCAGGAGGGGTGTTAACTCAGGATTTGCCCACGTGTGTTCAAAAGCTGGGCCTGTGAGCAAACACTGAAGCTGCTGCTCTGTATTTGCGACTGACTTAAGAAAAGACAGAGAACCAATTTATTGGTGGTTAAAAACTACAAAGATTCAATGAGTTGTGTGAGGTACAAAACCCCTGTGGTTAGATCAGCCAATATTTTAGCCATATTTTGTGAAATGAGGCCATACTTTTTTTTTTCCTGCAAAGTGGGAACAGTTGGTGGTGAGAAACATTCCTGTAACAATCCCAGTTTGCAGCACAGTCAGCCAATATTCCAAGGGCAAACAGGGACTGAGAAAGTAGAATTTTTTCTTTACTATTTCTGCTAAGACAGGTTCTTTTTGCAGTCTCTAACAGAACAAGACTGATGGGGATGAGAGATCCCTGTTTCAGTCTGAAAGCCATCACACTGGTGGTGGGGAGCATAGATTTTCAGTTAATTTTTTTAGTTGCTGACCACTTTCAGTGCCTGGAGTCACAGTGCACAGTCTCTGTGCTGCAGCTAATGGATTAAACCCCGTTTAATCAGTGAGGTTATTGCTGCACCGAGGCTGAAAAAAGTGTTTCTCAAGAAAACAAAAACCAGACACATGTCTTTGCTTCCCTTTAGTTCTCTGCTGGCTTTTCATAAAATAACTGGGTTATTCCACAGTTGTGTACTGGCCAGTCCTGCCCTTCCTTTTGCAACAAACACTACTTCCTTTTAGCTTCTGTTTGGGTGATTTGATATTGTATTTCCTTATATCCACCAGTAAGTAACTGGCTTATACCCACAAGCCTGCTGAGACTTGAGGTGGTTGGAGTAAGGATGAAGACTGCACTTAAAAGTTCCATGCTAGGGGGTTTTTTTTTACTAAATAATATTGTTGCCACCCTCTGAAATTGGTCATCTCCCTCTGCTTTCAGCTAATGTCAGTATGTCATTCCTTAGCCTGAAAATTTGTCTTCTGCATCATCTTAACTCAAACTTTAGAAGTCCTTGCATGTCACAGAGATCTGCATTTATCTCAGGAAGACCCGTATTAAAATTGTTCTGATGGGAAATGCCACGAGTTACTTTTTGTGTTGAAATACTTTAAAAGCTACATTTCAGTCAGCTGGGTTCAGCCTTCCTCATTTTTCCTTCCTGAAGAGCCCCAGGTGACTGGACAATTCATTGCTCTGACTGGGATCCCATTAATTGTGCTCCAGCTGTAAGAGATGATTGCTGAACACCCTGTAAAGGTGTGAGAGAAACCCAGAGCTGGTAAAAGAATTGCTCTTCCCCCCAAAAAAACCCCAACAAACCCTCCTAGTGAGAACATTTTGCTTTCCAAGTTGGTTGCATCTGGCATAATAATACCCATTGGATGGAATCTCTGGGTTTGACTCAATCAGTTGGAATCTCTCCAGGCTGGATGTGAGGAGGGACTGTTCTGTGAGGATTGAGGATTTTGGGTAAATGAACCTGATTAGTTCCCCCATCACCTCCTAATGAGTGGGGAGGGGAATTAATGAAGGAAGGAATTGAAGCAAACATTCCTAACTCCATTTAAAGCTTTTTGCCAGAGTTTCTTTCCAGTTTGTTTGAATCTTAGGTACCAATGAAATCATGCACTAAACCAGAATCCCATACCATGTTCTTCCTCGCTTCAGCAAATGCTCTTTTCTCCTCCTCTATGCGTCTCCTCGCTTCCTCCTCTGCTTTCCTCTTCTCCTCTTCTCTCCTCTGTCTTTCCATCTCCTCAAAACTCAGTCTGAGTTTCCCAGGGCGGAATTCTTTAACAGAATTTTCAGATTCTTCATCCCCACCTTCATTTATCTTCAGAGAAAGGGGGAGAGGAAAAAATAGAAAGGACTTACCCAAACATAAAAATATTCTTTATAGTGAATAAATACCCCATTAATTCCTTTCTGATCTCTTATAAATGTTGTTTTCTCCTTGAGGAAAAAATATAGCAAGAGTTTGGTTCCTAAGAGAAACATTTTAATCTTGGTTTTAGCCAAGGGAGGGAGAAGGGAAATTTTCAGTATCCTATATGTAGCTTCTGTAGTTTTCAAAAATC